CCTCGAAACGGACGTCACGGGAGTCAAAGAACCGGTGAGAGGGAGGGTGGTAAAAGGTGAAGTCAGAGGAGTCCTCAGGGAAACCAAGGAAGACACAGGGGACGGCACGAGGCGACAGCTTGTCCGCGGAGGTGTCGCGGACAAGAGCCAAGCACCCCCAGACACGAAACCGCGACGCAACACCAGGGACCCTGTCCAAAGACTGGTCGGTGAAACCTCTTGTCGAGAGACACGTGGCCAGAGGTTCAGCTGGTGCGCGGCGTACCTGACCGCGTAGGGCCACAGAAAATGGGGGGCACAGGCGTGAGTCAGGGAGGTGCGGGCGATCTCCATGACCAGGCCTATGCGGCGCTCAGCAACCCCATTCTGCTGTGGGGACTCTGGAAGCGTCCAGGACTGACGAATGCCCTGCTCGCGACAGAATCCAGCGAGAATGCCGGAGCGAAACTCACCCCCACGGTCGGAGTGGAGACAGCTGACACGACGACCACGAGTGTCCTCAGTGGTGAGCAACCACCTGATCAGCGTAGAAGTCACCTCAGACTTCTTCGCCAGAGGGAACACTGTGGTGTAGCGGGAGAAGTCGTCAACTACCACCAGAAAGTAACGCTCACGCTCAGGGCCTAGACGAGGGGCTGGGCCCCAGACGTCCAAGTGAAGCGTCTCAAAAGGCTCGGTGGCCGGACGAAGGGAGGAGGAGTGAGGGGTGGCGCGCAGCCTACCCTCGACGCAGGGACGACACGGCGGCGCAGGCGAGGGCGGCAGCGACGGCAAGACACGTGGGAGGCCTAGGACAAGACGCTGACTAGACATAGCGCGCAGACGTGGAAGGGACGGGTGCCCCATCCGGTGGTGCCACAGAACGGTGGGGTGGGCAAGCGACCGGCAGGAGCACGACGCAGCGACTGGAACAGACGTAGGAACCTGACACGACACAGACACCTGGGGGGACGTAGCAACCTGGTGAGACGCGGGGACCCGAACGGGGGGGGGAACCGGGGGCAGTGGCAGTAGGGGGGGCTGCTGGTGCGGCCGCTGGTGCTGCTGCTGCTGCTGCTGCTGCTGCTGCTGCTGCGGCGCACGCGGGCCAGTGTGAAGAGTGTAGAGACCCGAGCCCGGCTCAGCAGTAAAGGTAGCAAGAGGCTGGTAAGAGTCTCCGTCAACACACACCGCAGTCTCTCCAGAAGGCTCAAACCACACACCCACGTGCTGACTCACGAGGGGTCGCACGCCCACCAAGTTCCGGGAGAACGAGGGGACGTGAAACCCAGTGAGAGACCCGGAGGGAGCAGCAGGACACGGTAAAGTGGTAGTGTGACGTGCAGTGACTGATCCCGTAGTGGGATCAGCCAACGCTACAGAAACAGGCGCAGGAAGTGGTGTAAGTGTCGTGCTGTCCCGAAAGAAGCAGTGGGAGGCTCCAGAGTCCAGTGTGAACGACAGCGAAGCGTCCTCTGAGGTAGTCGCTGGTCTAGAGTCTACACAAGTACCTACACTAGCAACAGGCAACTGAGCAAGACTAGCACCTAAGCTAACAACACCAGAGTAAACAGAGTCAGAAACACTAGAGTCAACAACAGCATACATAGCATGAGGAGCACTAATCAGATCAACTAACTGCTCAGCAGACATGCCCCACAGAGCGGAGCCGTGGCGCTGAACCAGAGGAAGCCAGTCAGGAGCAGGACCGCCAACCCCGTAGGTCAACCGGACCGTGTCAGTGAGCTGAGCAAAGCACTGACCAGGGGGGTGAAAGCGGCCACAAGGGTGGCCCCGACGAGGACCTGTCTGAACCTGGTAGGGGCAGGGACGGTAAGCAGCACCGCGCTGGGGCTGACGCAGCCCCGACCCCAGAGCCAGCTGCTGACGCTGCTGCTGCTGAGGCTGCTGGGAGGAAAGGGGCTGCTTTTGCCGCTGAAGGTGCTGCTGACGCTGAGCCTGGTACCACGCCGCTGCTCCACCTAGCGGGGCCGGCAGTACAGGAGGCGACTGACGAGCTCGAGGGTCGCCGCCACCAGCAGGTGCAGTGGAGTCACCAGCCGCTGCACGAGGGGTCTCTCCAGACGCTGCACTCCCACCACCGCCAGTCGCAACAGCACCCCCACTACCTCCGCTACCTCCGCCTCCACCTCCACCGGAACCACCTTTCTTGCCCCCCCTGCCGCGGGACCGCGACGCAGTCGTAACAGCAGCCGCAGTCGCGTCAGTAGCGGCAGTGGCAAGAGAGGCAGTGAAGGTGGGTAACTGCGGGACTGTGCACCCGTGGAAGAGTGGGGGGGACACAGTACCAGAGGCGGCAGCTACCGAACGAAGGTTGCTCTCGACGTCCTTGAGTGCAGACTCAAGGACCTCGATAGTCAGCTCACTAGGGTGCTTCAGCAGAAGCGCGTCACGAACGGAGGCAAGGCGGTCAGGGAGGCTAGTGGCGATGAAATAGACAGTAATCGCCATGGGGGGAGGAAGCAGTGCAAGCTGTGCCTCAGTGCAAGCAGCGCGGTAACTAGCGTCGAGCGAGCGGAGGTGAGCGATCAAGTCAGCAGAGCGCTCAAACGAGGCAAGATCAGGAAACAGGAACGGGAGGAAAAGACGGCCGAGAGAGACAGTAGCGGGAGTAGAGTAGCGGGCCTTAATCGCAGTGAGGTACGCAGCAGCGGTGCGAACCTGAGTAAAGTGGACCTCCTCGGACTCAGGGAGGAGGCTGCTGAGTGCGATGCAGGCCGCAGCGTCACGCGACGTCCAAGCCGTCCGGTCAGCGCGCTGACGGGCAAAGCGAGCCGTAGCAGCGTCGTCAGGAGCAGGGCCTAAAGCGGTAGGCTCGGGGGGCTCGGGGAGGTCACCAGTAGCGTGTGACCAGAGGGTCTCGCCCCCCTGGACCTGACTCTCTAACAGACGACGAGCGCGAAGAAGCCAGACGGAAAAGTCAAGGGGTCTACCGTCAGCGTCGAAACGAAGAACTCGCGGAGTCGCCATAGTGAGAAGCAACGCGAACGAACAGGCGAGTAACAACCGGGGGGGAAGAGGACTCAGTCGCAGCGGAAGAGCGGGCTAGGGCGACGGGCCAAAACGTAGGGTAGGGCAACGGGCCAGGGCCTAGGGTAGGGCGACGGGCCAGAGCCTAGGGAGGGCGACGGGCCAGGGCCTAGGGAGGGCGACGGGCTAGGGCCTAGGGAGGGCGACGCGACGGGAGAAAGGGCGGGAGCGACGCGACGGGGCAGGGCGACGCGACGGGACAGGGCGACGCGACGGGGCAGGGCGGCGCGACGGAGCAGGGCGACGGGACAGGGCAGGGCGACGCGACGGGGTAGGGCGACGCGACGGGACAGGGCGACGGGACGGGACGGGACGGGACGGGACAGGGCGACGCGACGGGACGGGACAGGGCGACGCGACGGGACAGGGCGACGCGACGGGACGGGACAGGGCGACGCGACGGGACAGGGCGACGGTACGGGACAGGGCGACGCGACGGGACAGGGCGACGGGACAGGGCAGGGCGACGCGACGGGACAGGGGGGGAACAGGCGGGCGCGACGCGACGGGGGGAACAAGCGCGACGCGACGGGGGGAACGGGCGCGACGCGACGGGGGGAACGGGCGCGACGCGACGGGGAGGAACGGGCGCGACGCGACGGGGGAGATGATGCTAGGCTCGGTACTAGGCGCGGTAACAACTAAACTGGTACGAACGAGAGGTAGGATCAGGCTCGGGAGGTACGAACGGAGAACGGAGGAACGGGATCCCACAGGATCCTAACCAAGCTGATACCATGTCATAATGAGGAATGGATGTTGCATTGATGTTGGTTGGGGTACATATGACAAACCCTAACTTCTGTACCCCCTAAGACAAACCTCACTACAGGCTACAACATTTGACATTATGATAGACCTCGTTTCTACTATACCCCCCCTTTTGGCTGATTTTCTATAACACCCCCGTTGTCTTACGGATTCATTATTATAGTCGTTAACGAGTAGCTGCAATACGGAAGAATATCGTGTGAATTTCTCCCTCAATGAAATTTCGCGGTACATTCATAGGCAATCTGCCGAGATTTGCCCCCTCCCACTATTTCTCTGTTGCCACGTGCAGGTGAATCTTCCGTTGCAAGTGGCAAGAGAGGTGTCACATGGCATTTTCGTGAGGGCGATGAAGTTCGAGGCCGAAACTGACATTCGCGCTTCAGGCAGTGATGCTAAAACGACCTGCAAAACACCCACATTGACTAATTAAAAAAACACTAACACTAAAATATGCCATATGTAAAGACCCGGGTATTATGTATTTTTTTCCTATGAGAAGACCCCCCCCCCCATTTTTTCCCTGTATTTTTAGCTATACCCTAGGGTGTTATGTCCGGGAGAATACGGTAGATGGGAAAAAACGTGCAATTTTGCAGCCGAATAGGGCTAATATTACTGTACCTGGTTATGCACCGACCACCCTATTGCGAATACAGCCCACATTGCGTGGTTTATTTTGCTAGAAGGAATTGGTGACTGATGTATTAGAAGAACTTTGAAGGCTCGTGGATTTGTGGCTGGTGCGGTAATTGCCACTCCGGCAGCAAGCTAATCGAGGGCAAAGAGAGCAGGCAGAAACTCGGAAAAAGTCAGGCTAGAGGCTCCAGCATGACCAACAAATAAATGAGGGTGCCGATGCTGAGGTTGGGTCTGTGTGGTATACACACACCAAGTCTGCTCTGGGGCAATCAAATCCCGCACCCTACAGAAAGAATTCACTTGCAACACAACCGTTAGAAAGAATGACAAGTCAACGCATGGCTCACCTCCCTTGCCCTGCACTGTCCAAACAACCAGCAGTTGCTGAAGTGCGTACAAAGTAATGCTAAAAAAAATAAGCTGGAGTGCTGATCAGCCCATTCAGGCCTTTCATGTCCCAGCCTGCCGAATCAATCCACCACTATGTTCCTCGACAGTCAGGTGGTGGTATGGTACTCTCAGACTTTCCCCCTCAAATATTTAAAGAACAAATATGCTCACTGCTGCCCACTTAGCTGCCAGTACCGGTATTTGATGGCTGCAACCAGCATCATAAACATGTCTTCATAATACGGTACCACCTGCAACACCGGCAGCCGCAGCAGCAGGCGCAATGGCAGGAGTAGCCATGGCTTCAGCTTTAGCAGCAGCCTCAGCCGCTTCCTTGGCGAGCCTCACCCTCCACTTGTTCAGCTGGAAAACCCTCCAGAACCCGCCCTCCTCATTCCGTTCAATCCGCTCAAACTCAAACGACCCCTTGGTGCGGCGCGACGACACCGCCAGCCACTTGGACTCCTCCGTTGGATGCAGCTCCACCGCCTCCAACACAGGCACCTCTCCTTTCCGCCCACGACTGTTCGCCCCGCCATTGCCGTCCCCCACACGGCCCTCGGCAACGAGTCTGATACTCCTGCCGTTGACAGCATCGCACACTATACCAATGGGTGCTCGCAAGTCGGGGTCGTACTGAAGGATCTGATTCGCGTGGACTGCCAGTACTGTCTCGCCCATCTGCAGCCACCGCACTGTACCGCCCCCACTTATGCTGCTGCTCACATTACTGCTGGTGCTTGTGCTTGTGTTGGTGTTGCGACGCTTGGCAGGAGAACCCAGAACCATCCCTGCTGCTCCTGCTCCTGCTGCTGCACCAGCACCTTCTGCTGCATCTTCTCCTCCTGCTGCTGCTGCTGCTGCTGCTGTTGCTCCGTTCGCCCGGCCCCAACCTCCCACGCTCCCTCTAGCGAACGGCGGGAACTGGTCCTGGTCTCTTGCCGCCAGATCAGCCGGCATAATCGGGCTGAACGCGCCTCCTGCTGCGCACGCGCTCATGCCAGACAGTGTGGAGCACCACAGGCGCTGCGGAGGGATCCCCCGCGCCTCGTTCTCGTACACGTGGCGCACGTCCGTGCGCACCTCCCCCGCGGAGTGGTCCAGCGTCAGCAGGTGGTAACCCGATTTCGTCGCGCGCAGCACGCGCGAGTGCCGCCGGCCGTCGCGGTGACAGCTGCCCATGACTCCGGTTTGGACGAACAGGCAGGACGAGACGCGCGAGAGGGAGCCCTCGTAGTCGTGCGAGAGATGGAAATGGCCCGAGAACCACAGCTTAATGCAGGAATGGGAGCGTACTAATTCCAGGAACTTGCGTGACGTGGAGGGACAGGAGTGGTTGAGCCACGCGCAGCGATTGCGCACGTGGACTTCCTGCAGGCTCGTCAGCCCGCATCCCATTGGCGGAGCGTGCGTGAACACAAACACGGGCCGGTCTCTCCCTTCCGCCTCCACCGCCGCCAATTGCGCCGTCATCCACGCGACCTGCTCGTCATCTATAAAAACCTCGTGACAGCTATCTGGCGCGTCCCTAAACCGCACAGTCGACAACCCTAAGCACACGCCCGCGTCGCCTAGATCGCGCCGCCAGTAATGCTCCTGCCCGAACGCGTCCTTCCACGCGAGCAAATTCCGCTCGTCGGATTCGAACTCGGAACCTTCCAGGTCGTGGTTTCCAGTGACGGACAAGCGCGGGAGGCGGAAGGAGTCGAGGAAAGAGACGGCGGAGCGGAAGCACTCCGCGGATCCGGGCTTGTTGCTGTACCCGCCGACGTCCCCCAGTTGAATCAGCAGCGCCGGCGGGGCCGCTGCTGGAGCGTCGCTCTCGCGCGCGCTCTTGCCGTTGCTGTTACTACTGCCTTTCGCGCTTTCCCCGTTGGTAACACTGCTGGTGGTTTCACCCCCGGCGGCGGTTCTGCCGTTTTCTGTGCAAATCGAAGGGTCCGTGGCAAGGTTTTCCTGATCGCCAGCGAGCAGCCGTACGATCTGATCGCGCGCCTCGTGGAACAGGGTCATCTGGCCCGGCTCCAAATGCAGATCGCCCATCACTACGATCGTCACCGCGTCGTCGCCTCCGCCGCCGCCGCCGCCGCCGGGCGACGCCATTGGCTGGCCGGTTGTTGCGGGCGACGCGTCAGCAGCGCCTGGCCACCAGCGGGAGGAGAGGCCCGTTGAGAGTCCCGTAGGCGGGTCCCCCGCTGTAGCGGCCGAGAATTCGCCGTGAGTTGCGGCCGTAACGCTGGTTGGTGGATGTAAAGCTCCGTCGGCGGCAACAAACTGGCCCCCGATTCCCATGTCGCCTCCCGGCTTTCCCGGTCTGATGCTGCCACTAGCCGTGTCGAAAGACGCAACGGGTGTGCCAGTTACAAAATCCGCGACGGATAAGGAGCGGCGACGAGCGAACGAGCGAGGCCGTGGAAAGGGCACACTGAGCGGGCGGATCGCGGGACGAAACCCAGCGGGTGACGGCAGCGGCACACCCAGGCGAGTACGCGGGTAAACCGCTGCAGCAGACGTCGCAGCTGCTATAACCATGGCTTTTGAATGGACGACAAAGAGTGTTTAGGCTGCGCAAGAGAAGAGTGGCAGGTGAGGCAGAAAGGAGCAGCTTTTCCAGGACGATGGGGAGAAGGCAAGGGGGACCACCGACTCCACTCTCCTGCCTGCTGGTTTGTGTGGCTGGCGCGAGCTGAGAGGAATAGAAGCGCGGCTGCACTTCGTACGCGTTCCTGGTCTATCGTCGGGATGCAAATAGAGAGTATAGTGCTCCTTTTACTGTGGTCTCATCACTCGATCATTTTATATGGTAACATATGTACTGTTTTTCCTGGATGTAGGACCCACCAGTACAAAAGTCTCCCGGATCCTTTATCCAGAAGGTGGAAAGCTTAATCTGGGATATTTGGAGAGGGCCCCTTTCTTATGTTGAAGAAACTTAGTGTCCCTTTCAACACATCGATCTGTTTTGTAACGTTGTGCGTTGTTGCGTTAGGCTCTAAGTGTAAGGAAAAAAAATCTTATCGGGGTTGCCCTTATGCGCAGGTATCAACGGATAATAGAAAGCACAGGGATGAAGACCGTTCCCATGGAAGAGGTTTCCCCAACCCAATCCCGAAGGAGTCACTCACAACTGCAAACCTTGCAGAAGAAACCATTTCATTGGCGCCGTACATCTCCCCAGCAGACAACCCGCGGCACAGCAAGCCAACTGACGACGCTGTGACGCAAGGCCAGCAAACCAACTGACGCTGTAGAATGCTCGTGGGTGCACTTGCCACGGGTTGGGGGGTTCCTTTCTTGGTAAGAAATCGATGACTTGGTTTCGGTAATTTATTCGGTCATTTTGGCCTTGTTCGGCTGCACTCAAAATCTTCCCCAACCAAACCAAAACACAACAATAGTGAAAGAACGCCTAGCAGCAGGTTTCTGAATGACGATTCACAAGAGCAGCTCATCGCAGAATTTCAAGGTGTCCTGAAACTGCTGAGGCTGACCCGAAAACCTTGACGTGATTTGAGAAATGTCTCCGATCAGGCACAAATTGCTGGGAGAGGCCAGGAAAAGGGGGAGGGAGGAAGGAGGGGGGGGAGAGGGGTAAGGCGGGAAAGGCCCACGGAAGGAAAGGGGAGAGGGGAGGAAAGGGGAGAGGGGAGGAAAGGGGAGAGGGGAGGAAAGGATTTTCAACTTGTGAAAGGAGGCAGCATCTGGACTGGAACAAGGAGCGGCTCGTGCGACATTTGCAGAGACGTGAAGACTGTCCACACTTATCACTTAAAACCCGCGTCTCATATTTCCGCCCCCCCAACCAAGTGTAATATGGTTGAAATCGGGTAACCAGTTTTAGGTCGCCCAACGACCACTGTTGGTGGGCACAGGGTTGGGGTCAGGTTGGGAAAGAGACTCGAGAGGAAAGGCTTGTACGTGCCAGCCCCAGCAATTGAACGTGCACCACCCCAAGGTGTGGAAATGCACCTGACGACGCAAAATGCTAATCGCATGATTAGATCGTGCGACACAACCACCCTGTGCGATTTTCCAGCACCAGAGGGAACAAACATATTCCACCAGCTCGAGGAAATTAGAGACGCAGTTTCGAACAGCAAACAAGCGGAGGAACTCACGCAGCCTAACAAGCATATTACACTAGATATAGACAGCAGAAAACGTCCACGCGACCCTATAATATGGCGCAGCAATGCCGCCACCAACTAGACCGTCGTATCACCAACATTTAGAGCGAGAACCAGCATTGAAGCTCATGCGCGGCGAGTGCAAACGGACCATATCCGTAACGTGCGGACCGTCCACCATAAAGCTTTACGGTTAGGAACTCGACGAGGCGACGCGAGGCATTTCCTTCGCCACCACCTACGAGTGTGTGCTACTCGTCAGGACGGTGAGCACGAGCTGCTAATTAGCTCTGCAAAAACGAAGATATTGACTGCGTCAGTCAAATGCCACGGCATAATCAAAGCTCTCGACCTGTTTAGGGTTGCTTCTGGTACAGGGCAAATCACTGGACGTCTTGAGAAGAGCAGCCAAAGCGCGAATAGCCTCATTGCTGGCTCATGCGATTGTTTAGCACGCAGCCCCAATAAAATGCGGCGTCGTTCCGCAGCTCGCATTGGGGGCGAGGCTGTAATCTTGCACCAATGAATTTCGCGCCCCGCCTCAAAGCGTGAAGTGCGCATCAGCCATGCCACCGCCGACTGGGGCAAAGCAGGCGGGAGGCGCGCCTCTGCCTGACCTCCCCGCTACCCCCCTGCTCACCCTATCACGACGGCTCCTCCTCTCCCCCCGCACTTCCCGTGCATGCAACTCCCAGGGCATGTCTGGTGGCGCACTCAGCAGGCGGGAGGCGCGCGTATGCCTGACTGCTGCGCTCCCCCCCTTCTCTTCCATTCACCCCAATCCCGCTTCCCCCCATCTTCCCCCATCCCCCTTCCCTTCCCGCATCCTCCTTCCCTTTCCCCATCCTCCTCCCTTTACCCCATCCCCCTTCCCTTCCCGCATTCCCCTTTCCCTTTCCCCACCCCCCTTCCCTTCCACCATCCCCCTTCTCTTTCCCCATCCCCTTCCCTATCCCCCTCCGCCTTCCCTTCCCCCATCCCCCTTCCCTTCCCCCATCTCCCTTCCCTATCCCCCTCCGCCTTCCCTTCCCCCATCCCCCTTCTCTTTCCCCATCCCCCTTCCCTTCCCCCATCCCCCTTCCCTTCCCACATCCTCCTTCCCTTTCCCCATCCTCCTTCCTTTACCCCATCCCCCTTCCCTTCCCGCATTCCCCTTTCCCTTTCCCCACCCCCTTTCCCTTCCCCCATCCCCCTTCTCTTTCCCCATCCCCCTTCCCTTCCCCCATCCCCCTTCCCTTCCCCCATCCCCCTTCCCTTCTCGCATCCCCTTTCCCTATCCCCGTCCGCCTTCCCTTTCCCCATCCCCTTTTCCCTTCCCCACACCCTCCTTTCCCTTCCCGCATCCCCCATTCCCCCTATCCCTCATCCCTTCCACCGTTTTGCCCCGCTTTCACACACTATGCCGCCAATCAATCACTTTCCCCCTTCCTCCCTGCCTTCTTTCTTTCCCCATGCCATGCCTCCCCTCGGGTTCCTCCCATGGCTCCCCTCGGTTTCCTTTCGTCCCTCACCTCGCTTTCCTCCCATGCCTCCCCTCGCTTTCCTCCCATGCCTCGCCTCACCTCTGTTTCTCCACTTGTCTCCCCTCGGCTTCCCCCCTTTCCCCCCACCTGTTGATGTGCTTGTTTCAGCATGGCGCCACAAAGAACCAGTTCATCCTCCAGTTCTCTTTTTACTTTGCGTAGATTCAAAACTCAGTTGTTATCAAAGTAGGCTTGCCAAACTCTCCTAGTCTCTTGTCTTGCAATAGCATATTACAATTGATACTCAGATTGCTTCAATGCATCCATATTAGAAGTAGCAATTGTGCACAGCACTGACATAAAGAACTTATTGAATGTATACACTTGTGTAATATCTTGAAGATACGGGGTACAGCTTTCCTCTAGCACCGGTTTTGCCATCGTGCATCTGGCCGTGCATCTGCTGCTTGCCTGTCCCTTCCGTTTCGCCAGGCTCGCATGGGACTAGCTTAGTCCTGCTTGTAACTGGAACAAAGGTAGGGGTGACGGGAGGAATGAAGGCTCCAGGGATTCAAAGAAGGGCAGGTACAAAGGGGGAACGGAGAGAACAAAAGAGGATAGAGGGTAGGTGAGGGGAGAGAGGGAAGGGGGGGCGGGAGTAGAAGAAGACATGCTGAGGAAGCAGAGCGGAGATAATTTGAGGTAAGATGAGATGGGGAGGTGGGATGAGAAGGAAAGAAGAAGGGCGAGAAGGAAAGGGCTCTCCACACTCATGGCCGCCACCACAGCACTCAACCTCCCCACCTCCCTCCCACTCCCCCTCCCCTCTCTTACCATAACCCACACCCACACCCTCCTCACCTTCCCCTGCTTACATGCACCTCAGCTTCGGGGAGGGGGGAGCAATCACAGCACAAGGAACATGGAGAAGGTTCTTGGAAGGGGAGGAGGAGACGGGGGAGGGGAGAGAGGGAGGGAGGAGAGAGGGAAGGGGAGAGAGAGAAGGGGAGAGAGGGAAGGGGAGGGAAAAAACAGGTGTCAGGTGTCCCCGTAAAAAGGATGTGTGTTGTGTCTCGAGGCACAGATGGCAGTTGGGGGAACGGGAGGTGTGAGCACCGGGATGTGACAGCTGCGGGACGTGTGGCATAATGACATGCACATGCACTCACGCAGATGAATACATACAGGTGCACACCCGCACGCACGCACGCGCGCGCAAGCACGCACGCACGCACGCATGCACGCATGCACACACGCAAGCGCATGCACGCACGGACGAATTCACGCGTACGCGCACGCGCGCACACACGCGTACGCGCACGCACACGCATGCACGCACGCACGCACGCATGCGCGCGCACGCGCACGTACACACGCCCGCACGCACGCACGCACGCCCGCACACCCGCACGCACGGGTGCGCACGCGCACGAACGCACGCACGCAGACCCGCACGCACGCACGTGCACACACCCCACACACATGCCACTCGCACACAGACCCAGGACGGCAACTCCTTTCACGTAATCGCGCTTAGCGTAAATTGACATTGGGCGATTCCTTACTCGCCAAGTAGTGCCTTATCCGCAACCAAACTTGTTCGCAAGTCACCTACTATCTGGTCCGAAATGCGAGCTAGTAGACAGCTAATCCCTGTTTCTGTGCTCGGGTCAGCATCTTGTCGCGGAGGCACATACCTAAGAACTACTAAGCGGAAGTAGTAAGAATGACGGCTGAGAGTTATGCTCTGCTTTTCCTGGTGAAGGTGGGCGAATTGTGTCCTGTCGTTTCAATTGGTCGCATGTTAGTGCGATTCTGCCGGAGGTGTTTTCTAGGTGTGATAGATGTCCACGCCTGAGGGGCTCGTTTGGATTTTGCCCAGACGAACTGAGGTTTCGTCTGTGTTTTTCAAACTGCTCGTCACAAATCTCGCCTATCGTTACCCAATCACAGACGCTTTAGCCCAACCAGCTGTAATACACTAGAAAATATGAGACGCGGGTTTTAAACAGGATTGTACATCTCGCATTGGTTCCTTTATCCACTCCACACGCTGGCAACCATCGCTCCGCTCCCTTTTCTCCACAGAACAGCCTCCTATGGCTATGCGTAGCGATTATTACTACTCCAAACTTCTATGTTTTCTACGCAGCTAGTTATACGACTTTTTAGCCTTATTGTTCCCCTCTTCTAGGGCATGGATGCCTCTTTCGCTTGTTTCGTTGTGTCAGTGGGTGCTCCATACTTGGTAACGTGAGCCCGTAATTTAGTAGCACAGTTGAAGCAGTCCCTCTTACTAACTTGCTCGCCATGTTGAAAGTTAGCTTTTCCAAACTCGCCTTACCCTGGAGCAACAGTAGCACAACACCAGGAAGCTCCGCTAATGCCGGCGACAAACACGGTGACAGCGGAGCAGCACCGGAGGGCAAGGGAACTACTATTTCGGACCCCCCTGCAACACCCCGCGGTCAATTACAGCCCAGTGCTTCTCGACGTTACTACTCTCACGGCGGCGCCAGCGGCGGCGACGGCGGCGGCCGGAGTGGTGGTACCACCGCGAGCGGCGGCGGGCCGCATCCGAAACAATCCGATGCGGACGAGGCGCGTGATGCCACGTCAGGTGCCTTCATCAACAGCAGCAGCCTAGGAACCGGAAGCGGGAGCGGAAACGGAGCGAGCCAGCATCAGCAGCAAAATAGCAATGCTAGTACTAGCAGCGGCGTGGCGAGGACTCCCCGCGGGTTACCGAAACACAGCACCGCGGACACCACCTCGGCGGACTTTCCCCCGCCTGGCGGCGCAAGCGGCCGCGACCTTTCCGGCGGCGGCGCTGGCGGCAGTAGCACTAGTAACAGTGCTTCTACTCCCAGAGCCGGCCACGGTGGCCGCGGCGGCAGCGCCGCTGGCGGCGGCAGCGGGTTCGGTCTGGTGGTCACCCAGCGGACGGCGCGGGTGGTTTCCGCGGACGAGGAGGCGTGCTGGGCGGTGGGCATGGAGCGGGAGGAGCTTCTGCGCGCGTCGTTGTTCGACTTGGCGGAGAAACTGAACCCGGCGGAATGGGTCCGCGCGGTAGAAGGCATGAGCGCAAAAGACAGGCCGCGGGTTATCGTCCGCTTTCGCTTGGTCCAGCCGAGTAACCACCGCGGCGGAAACGGCGGAGGGAGTGGCGCGCTCTCCGGTCGCCGCGTGGACTGCGAGTTGCAAGAGCTCGTTCCCAACTCCAAGGCCATGCGCGTTCACATTGCGCCGATTCCGCCGAACTCTCCTGGCGGCGGAGGCGGAGGCGGAGGCGGGGAGAAGCCTGTTGCGCCGACCACTCCGCGCGCGGGCCTGTCGCACTCGAAAACGCTGTCGCGCGCGGAGACGATGTCGTCGCAGCAGGCGCCGTCGTTGTCGCACTCTCACACGCTCGCCCACTCGCCCTCGTCGCTCGGCGGTAAGCAAGGCGCGTCTCGCGTCACCTTCGGAGGGGAACACGGCGGAAGAGGCGGCGGCGGGAGCGACGTAGGGGACTACGGCGGGCAAGCGAGGGAAAGAGAGCGAGGAAGGCGCGGAGCGGCGGAAGCGGGAGCGGCGCATGGGGGTAAGCTGGGTGGGGTCGGCTCCGCAAGCATGAGGATCCGCGGGGACGCGGAACGCGGGGGAAAAGGGGGGCGGGAGGAACGCGGAGGGCCTGCACAAGCAGCGGAAGAAGCAGGAGCAGGCGGAGGAGGAGGAAGCTTAGCCAAGAGTTTGTTTGGACTGGGTTCAAAAAGCAAAAAGTTTGAACACATGGTGGTGATGGTCCCTGGGGATTCCGCCGATGCGTGCGACAGTCCCAGGGGAACGAGGAGCACCAGTAGCAGCACTAAGAGGTCGGGCGCAGGCGGAGGGGGAAGTGCAGGGGGAGCGGGAGGGGGAAGCGGGTCGCCAGTGCCAAAACTGGAAAAGAGCCGCAGCAGGGCTGAACGAGGGGGAGGCGGAGGCGGGGGGAAGACTCCGCGTGGGCGCATGGAGGGGGTAGACAGCTGGGGCGGAGGAGGAGGAAGGGGGGGGAGGGGGAAGGGGGGAAGGGGGGCGGGCGCAACAGTATTATCACGCGGGACCGTCCCCCCGAGGTATAGCGCCCTCCCCGCGGCTTGGAGGAGTGGGGGCGAGGAGCTTTCGCGGAGGGGGTGGTGGAAGGAGCGGGGGCGGGGGCGGGGGCGGAGCCGGGGGAGGGGGAGGGCGCGGCGGAGGGGGGGGAGGCGGAGGAGGCGGGGGAGGCTGGGGAGGGGGAGGAGTGGGAGAGTGGGCAGAGGAGGAGGAATGGGAGGAACCGCTAACTCTGGAACGGAATAAGAGCTTTGCAGGGACAAGCGGGCGCATGGGCGGTATGGGCGGTATGGGCGGACCTGGGGGGGTTGGTGGGACGCAGGGGAGCGTAGGGGCGTCGTCTAATGCGTCCAATGGGAACAGCACGCCGCGGGGCATGAGTTGGCGCTCCCGTACCGCCCCTTCTGAGGGCACCACGTTCACAGTGCAGGAGACAACTGGCAGCAAGCAGTGGGGCGGGGCGGGACGGGGCCGGGGGGGTGCGGTGGGAGGGAGGGACTCGGCGGTTAATCAGCAGCATCAGGATCATCATCATCACCATCACCATCACCACCACAACCAGCAGCAGCAGCAGTCGCAGTGGTTGCAGGTGAAGGAGCAGCAGCGAGCGCAGGAGGAGCAGGTGAAACTGGAGTGGAAGGGGCAGCAGAAGAAAGCCCAGGCGCAGCGAATCCTGCAGAGGCTTAACTCGGAGCGGAAAACGGCGAGCTCTATGAGTGAACATGGGGACGGGGAAGGGGAGGACGACGGGACGGGTGGAGACTGGCAAGGTATGGGAGGCAATCAGCAGCACCCTCAGCAGCAGCGGCAGCAGCAGCTTCCACCCCCACCCACTCAGCAGCATCAACAGCATCAGCACTTTCAACCGCAGCCGTATGAGCAGCAGCAGCAGCAGCAGCAGCAGCAGCACCAGCAGCAGCAGCAGTATCAGCAGCAGTATCAGGAGCAGTACCAGGAGCAGCAGCTTCAGCAGAAGCAGAACGCATACCAGCAGCAGGGGCAGTACCATCCGCAAGAGTACAGCCGCTCGTCCCAAGCAGCGGGGCCTGGTATCACCTCCCCGCCTCCGCTCTCGCTGCCGCGGGGTCGTCTGAAGCAGCTGCAGGTGCAGGAGCAGGTGCTGCAAGAGCAAGGAGCACCGGATTCCCCTGGCTCCTCTTACCAGCAGCGCCCGCACATGCAGCAGCCACAGCCACAACAATTCCATCCCCAGCAGCAGCAGCAGCAGCGAGGCATGCTGTCGGGAGCAGGTGCACGGTCACTCCGAGGTGGCACTGGCTTTGCTGGTATGCCTGGGACTGGGGGGGGCCCTGCTGCACTAGGCATGGGCACCGCGCACAGACCCATTCCAGCAGCACCAGCAGCCATGGCAGCAGGCGCAGCAGGCGCAGCAGAACCTGGGACGGCGCTATTGTCTGCCAGACAGGCGTATCCCAGGTCTCCCTCAGGCCAGGTGATTCCTCAGGTGAATATTCAGGTGCCATCACCAGTGGGACCTTCCCCACGTGGCCCCTCCCCCCGCGGCGCGTTCCTGAGTGGGCCTGCCTCGCCCTCTATGCTCTACTCCTCGCCACATGTATCTTCCCTGGATAAGCCCTCCCCTCGCAGTAGGCTGGGTGATACCCGAGGGAGGCAGCAGCAGCAGGCTTGGGAGAACGGTGGGGGGTTGGGAGGAGTGCGAGTGGTGGAAGAAGAGGAGGAGGAAGGGGAGGAGCACGGGGAGGAGGACGCGGAAGAGGAAGGGGAGGAGGAAGAAGAGGGGGAACGGGAAGAGGAAGGGGAAGAGGACGAGGGGTTCGAATGCATTGATGAGGAAGGGGTGGGTGAGTACCGGGCGGTTGCCGGGGGGGTGGGAGTGGGAGTGGGAGTGCGAGGGCTAGCAAAGGACCTCTCTATTCAGAGTCATGAGTCAGACGAGACTGCAGTGGTGGCTCTGCCTTTGCTCTCTCCCAGCGAGCTTCTGCATGCTCCCTCCACGCTGCCTCATCTATATGGGGCGTCCCAGAAATCGCCCCGAGCTTTTATGCGCGCTCCCGCTCAGCCGTTGCCGGTTTCGGGGCAGGTTAGGCAGGGGAGAGGAGCAGGCGCGGGGACAGGGAGGCGGGGGAGTATGGAAGAGCTTGGTGTGGTGTGGCAGGGGAGTGAGCAGGGAGTAGGGAGGGAGAGGCCGATAGGGAGAGGTGGGGGCAGTGTGGGGAGGAAAGGAGGGCAGAGGAGGGTTAGAGGGCCGGAAGAAGAGGAGAAATGGGGGAGAGTTGGATGGGAGGTAGTGGAGGGAAGGGATGAAGGTGAGGAATGGATGGGGCAGAGCCATCAGCAGCAGGTGCAGTGGCAGCAGCAGCAGGTGCAGTCACAGCAGGAGCAGCATTGGCAGCACGAAGGGGTGGGGGAGGAGCAGCAGTGGGAGCATGAACAGGCGGGGGAGCAGCAGCAGTGGTATGAGGCAGAGGTGCGGAGGAATGGAGCTGAAGCTGATGTGGGAGTGCAGATGCCTAAGGACGTGAAGAAGAAACTCAAGAAGGGCAATTCTGGGAAGGAAAAGGGAAAAAGAAAATTGGGAAAAAAGAAGGATAAAGTTGGTGCCAGAGACGAGTGTGTTTTTGAGAATTCTCATAAACACCCTGGAGGAGTAGAAGACGAAGGAGCCAGAGACGAGGTCAGAGGCAGTAGGCGGGTTGTCTTGAGTGAGCGGAATATGGCAAAAGGAGGAGAGTGGGAGGAGGAAGAGCAGGAGGAGGAGGAGGAGGAAAAGATGGGTGGGAATGGCGAGTATGAGCAGGAGGAGGCTGGGGAGGAGGAGGGGAGAGATGAAGGGGTAGCAGAGTACCCTAGGGGGGTGGGTAGATGGAAGGACTCCTGGAAAGAAATAGAGGACGAGGAGGAGGAAGACGGCGGAGAGGAAACGGGAGGCAAAAGGTCAGGTGGTTCTGAGGGACTGGTGAGCAAGGAGGGTGGTGGTGAACACAGTAGGGGCAACAGGGAGGTTGAGTCGTGGAGAGAAGAGGTGGCAGATGGGAAGGAAGCGAAGGAGGGGGATGTGCCTTGGGAAGCAGAAGAGGAAGGGGAAAGGGAAGGGGAAGGAGAAGGGGAAGGGGTAGGGGAAGGAGAAGGAGAAGGGGAGGGGGAAGGGCAAGGAGAACAGGAGATGCAGATTCACGAAATGGAGAGGGGGAAGGAACGTGAAGGAGGGCCAAGAGGGGGGGTTCATGTGTGGAGAGAGAGAGAAGGAAAGTTACGGGCGGAGGAAAGGAAAGAGGAGGTGGGGGGAAGTGAGAAACGGCAAGTTTTGGTGGCTGGTGGAGGTGTGATGAGGGGAGAGAGTGCTGATACGATGGACCATGCATGGGCGGGGATGGCCGAAGAGGAGGATGAGAGAAGGGACGATGAGGAGGAGGAAGGCGAGGAGGAGGAGGAGGAGGAGGATGAGGGGGAGGAGGAGGAAGGGGAGGCGGAGGAAGGGGAGGAGGAGGAAAGGGAGGAGGAGGAGGAAGAAGAGGAACAAGGGGAAGAGCAAGTGGAGGGGAAGAGGGTAGTAAGGGAGGAGGACGAAGGGGTGGAGGAGCAGGGGGAAGAGGAGATGGTGGTAAGCAACTTGGAAGGGGAGGAGGAGGAGGGGGAGGATGAGAAGATAAGGGAGGAGGATAGCTGGTGCAGAGGAGAAGGTGGTGGGGAGGGTACATGGAAGGCGAAGAATGGAGTGGTGGTGGTGGATGGTGAGGGAGAGTGCGGATGCGAAGGGCATGGAGAGGTGTATGAAGAGGGGAGGTTTGGGAGCAAGGCGAAAGGAGGGGAGGACAGGCATGGTTTTGATGCAGTTAGTGATGATGATGATGATGATGATGATGATGATGATGATGATGATGATGATGATGATGATGATGATGATGATGATGATGATGATGATGATGATGATGATGATGATGATGATGATGATGATGATGATGATGATGATGATGATGATGATGATGATGATGATGATGATGATGGTGGTGGTGATGGTGATGGTGATGAGGAGGGTGGTGGGGAGGGTGGGGTGCATGATGGTGATGGGCATGGGATTTGGCATGGTGATGGTGAATTTGAGAGTCAAGTGGTGGGTCATGAGCAGGAGGAGGTTGATGAGGGCAGCGGGATGGTAATGGTGAGAGGCGAGGAGTGGAGAGAAGGAGACGCCAAGGCCCTCAGCAACCCCCATGCACATGCCAGCCTGGCTTCCTGCCATGCGAGTTCCCACGCGGATTCTCATGATGACAGCGATGGGCATTCAAGCAGACTCATGCCTGATGCTGATGCTGATGGTTATGGTGATGGTGGTGGTGGTGGTGGTGGGTGGGAGAATGATGGTGATGGTGATGTTAGGGGGAGTGCACACATGGATGAGGATGCGGAGGGCATGGGCCATGACATGATGAGGGGAAGGTGGGGGGAGGAGGAAAAGGAGGAGGGGGAGAAGTGGGAGGAGAGGGAGCATATGGAGGATTGCGAGGAGAGGGAGGTGTGGGAAGAAAGGGAGGAGAAGCATGATTGGGAAGAGAGGGAGGAGAGGGAGGAGAGGGAGGAGCGAGAGGAAAAGGAGGAGAGGGAGGAGAGGGAGGAACGGGAAGAGAGGGAGGAGGGGGAGGAGGAGAAGGATAGGAAGCGAGCAGAGGAGGACAGTGATGGGGAGAACACGGGATACAAGGAGGAAGGCAGGGCGGATGAGGCAGGGGTAAGCGAGGTAGAGGGGGAGGGGAATGGAAAGGAGGAGACGGATAGCGATGAGGAGATGGCTCGAGAGGAGAAGGACAAGGAGGTCGAGATGGGAGGAGAAGAGGAGGAGGAGGAGGAGGAGATGGATGGTGTGTCAAGGTTGCCTATAGCATATGGGAGAAGGGAAGAGGATGAGGATGAAGAGAGCGTCATATGTGGGAGTGTGATAGTGCATGACGACAGTGACAGGACCCCCCATGCTGCACACAGCACTGGGGTAAGCGGGGACAGCAGGGGCAGCAGGGACAGAGGGGAGGACAGTGGGGAAAGTGCAGGGGTGGTGAGCAGCGTTCATCAGCCTACCTATGCTGCGCCTGGGCCTCTACCCCTATCTGCCGGCTCGCCTGCGATCCACTCTCGCCACTCCGCTGCCCACTTGGTGCCGTCTCTTCAAGCCCTCTGGCTGCCGTGGCACCGGTACGTGCGTGATGGCCGTCACTGGGCGTGTCGTGGGTGGGTGGGTGAGAGGGAGAGAGGGAAAGAGCAAATGCAGGAAATGCTCGTTCGTGTTGGCGAGTAATCGCGCGAGTGTGAGCGTATATGTGTCTGTAATAGAGTGTGGTGTGGAAGGAAGGAAATGCCACCTCTGATGCACTACGCTTCTTTACGAGTCTCAGAAATTGCAAGGATAAGCTACACACTGCACTGCCCTCCTTGTTCTGTCTTCATCCCCACTGCTCCCCCTACTCTCCCTCTCCTTTCCCCTCATCTCTCCCCTCCCCTCGTCTCTCCCCTCCCCACATTTCTCCCCTCCTTACATCTCTCCCTCCCCACATCTCTCCCCTCCTCGCAGCTGCCTATTGGACGTGGCAGGCATCGGTCTGCTCACCGTGTGCTGCTCCTCCTCCCCATCCTCCCCCTCCTCTCCTTCCTCCTCCGCAACCCCCCGCATCGGGCGCTGCAACACTGCTCTCCTCCGCATGCTTGGATCGGCCGCTCGCCCTCCTCCCTCCCCGGCTGCACTGCTCTTCCCCCAGGCCAGTCACTCCGCTGCTTCTGCGGCTGCTGCGGCAGATGTGGCAGCAGCAGGGGCGGAGCGTGGGTTGGTGCATCAGCTGGAGGCGGGATTGTCGGCAGAGTATGAGGCGCTGCCGCTGGTCACTCTGCTGCACCCACGGCACCGAGAGGAAACATGGCCTGCTCTTATGGTACGAGACAGAGACGCACAGAGAGAGAGGAAGTGCGAGAGCGTCGCACCACAGCATTTTCCACTTCATGCTCTTTAAAACTTGGTCCTATGGAGCATTCTTACCCTCCTTTCCTCAACCTCACCCCCCCTTCGCACGCTTTTGTTCCACCATCCACATCCCCTCCAAACCCCGTCCTTCCCCATCGTTGCATGCATCTTCCTTCCGTACCACCTTCCATACTGAGCTCCTCCCATCCCTCTCCCCATGCCCGTGCCATCCCTGCCTCCCCCCCCCCCCCCCCCCACCAACACCCCCCCTTCTCAACCTACCCAGGCGCTGATTCTCACAGCCATGGACCTGTGCAGCGTTGGGTCAAGCAAGCAGGAGCAAGCGCCAGTGGAGCAGGTTCTGGGAGAGCCCCTGCTCGCGTCCTTACAGGATGCCCATGGCTACGAGGTGCATGTGGCTGTCTCCGTGCTCCCAGGGCCTCCAGGAATGGGGAATGAGGAGGAGGAAGAGGAGGAAGAGGAAGAGGAGGGGAGTGATGGTGATTGCGAGGATGGGAGTGATGTGGGATGGAAAACGAGCTTTGGTGGTCGTGGGGCACGTGGGAGGGGGTCTGGTGGTGGTGGTAGTGGGACAGTGGTTCTTGTTGTGCAAAACCTTCAACTGGCTGACATGATGTCTTGATATGCTTAGTGCTGTATAAATATTGTACTTTGCGTAGTGTTTAGGGCGTGTTGGTGTGCAGTTGGCTTAGGTGCGGATAGGCCCAGTAGATTTGTATATTTTCTGTTATGTAGTCCTTGTAAATTTGCCTTGACTGTAGACATTTTGGAACCAAAGGAGCTAATCCCAAGAGAGTGCGGAATGTGTGCCTGCCTTCCGCGTGTAATAGACCACTCTAACCGCGTACAACGCATCATCACCTCCTACACCATAGAAATGGATCTGACGCTCACCTCACCCTTGACAGCAGCGCTTCGCCAGAGCCGTTTTTCTCCCCGTGAAGCATACACCTTCCTTCAGTCCCGTGTGAGTCACGGAGCCTTCGCCTGTAATCGCTCTCATTAGGATTTGGTGAGCCAAGTGCGGTCTCGTCCCTGCCAGATTCGCGCTCCTTAGCCGGTCGTCGGTCAGGTGCTGAATCCTTGTTCGCCAAGGGCATTGTTTGCTGCCTAGACGGCGGGAGGGCGTTGTCGCTCGGCGAACCTGTGCGACTTGACCCGACGACGAATTAAGCGACTCGTGCGACCGAACGATTGGGACGAATCCATGGCGGATCTCTCCGCAGAGCTTCGACCATACGAGGAGCGCGCGGCGAAAGCGGAGGTACTGCGGCCGTGAACGCTCGTGAATGTAGATCTTCAAAAGGTTTTATTCCTTGTACTCTCTCCCCGTGTTTGCTTTTCGATTTCACCAATCGTGGTCTACCTCCGCTCTTCCCCTCCTCCCCCCCTCCCTCCCCCCACATTTCCTTCCCCCACCCCCTCTTCTTACCCCCTGCCGCACGATCCTGGGAGCTTCAGGAGCGGCTGGCTAAGCTGGAGGCAATGGTGGGATCACTAGGTGAGTACCTACTCACCCCAAGTCCTCTTTTCTCTCTCCCCCTTACTCTCGCTCTCCCTCGCTCTCGCTCTCCATCTTGCCCTCTTCGCCTGCCCTTCCGGAGTCGTTTGAAGGTGAACATGGAAACGCGAGAGCTCACTGGAAGAGTGGAAGAGAGGAAGAGCTTGAGCTCACTGGAAGAGTGGAAGGATTTTCTGCACTGCACTGGGAGGGAACCAACCGGTTGATGATGAGCGCATGATGTTGGCTGCACTGCCTGGCTGGTTCTTGAGAAATCTCAGAAACTAACTGGCTCGTAGTCAACCATCTCTCACGCCACTGAAGCAAGAACGGACAGAGCTATCGACATGCCATGCCATGCCATGCCATGTCATGTCATGTTATACGCCTGCACCTTCTGTCTCTCCGTTCTCCCTCCCTTGTTGCGGCCGTACACCCCATCTCCCCTCAACCGTTCCTCCTCTCTGCACCACACCCCACCGCGCATCACCGCACCCCACCGTGGCGCCAGGGTCGTCGGCGCTGGTGGGGGACGAGAAAGCAGCGCTGGCAGCGTCGCTGGAAGCAGTCAAGGCGGCGCTGGTGGGAGCCAGGACGCACGTGCAGCAGGCTGTGCAGGACAGCACGCAGGTGGGTGGGTGGTTTGGCAAGGGCGTGATGTGGGGGGGGAGGGGGAGGGGTGGGGGGGTCGAGGCGACGCACGTGCAGCAGGCCGGAATGACGTCATAAGGATTGATCTCCCTCTGATGCGGTTTCCCTTTCACTCTGCCGCTTCACCAGCTGCCTTGGCGGCACCAATGCCAACCCATCATATCCCTTCGCATGTCTTGAGTCGACTCGACTCATCGAGTCGACTCGAAACACCTTCGCAGCTGCCTGTTTGGATGCACCAATGCCAATCCCTCATATCCCTTCGCAGGTCGCCTGTCTCCTTTCTACCTTGGACACCCCTCATATTCCTTCTCGCACCCTTCCCCCCTGGCTCCCCACCCCACCCCCCACTCCCTTCCCCCACATTGCCCTTTCCCCACACCGCCCCTTCCTCCTGCAAATATCTGTGTGAGCAGGCGCAGGCGCAGGCAGCGCAGCTGAGTGAGGAGAATGCGAAGCTCAAGTACCGAGTGCTGCACCTCTCCCGCGCTCTTAGAGACGCCGACGCCAAGCTCGCTGCTCCCGCCTGATCCTCTCTCTGTTTCTTTGGATATGCCACCTGGCACGTAGCAGCCTTGTGGGTTTGTGTTATGGCCATGGTTGTTTTTCATGGTTGGCACTGGGTAGCTGCGCATGACGTATGTATGTATCCATGCATGCATGGGTTGTCCTATTGCGCCTTCGTGCTGTCTTGATGGTGTGTTCAGAACAGGGCATGCGATGGAGGGAGCAAGGCAGGCCTTTATGCCAGATCGCATATCCCACAGCTTTTATGTAGCTTGGCAGAAGCTGGGGGTGAAACTCAAAGACACCACACGAATTCCAAGCACAAGCAAGCGGCCACAAGGCCAGTTCAAGAGAGCACAATACATACCGTCACCCCCCGGATATACCCCCATGGGGGGCTATAATATAACATGTTTTTTTGAGGGGGTGGGCTTATAATATAGTAAATTTATAAGCGCCGGCGTTTATAATTTGTCAAATTTGAAATTTGTTTTTTAATATACCAAATCGAAGCATTCTCAAACGCGGATTCACCTGGGTCGAGAACGTTCGAAATTGTGCATGCATTGCGTGTGAAACAGCCAACAAGGCGTGGCTTCACGCCTTCCACGCCTTGTTGGCCAGGCCAGGTTCATCGAACGTGAACCTGGCCCATGCCAGTGCACACGTACCTCGCATCACAGCGGCCCAATCAGGGTTGCATGCGATCGTGGGCACGTCGTGGTTCAGCCACGGTGTGCCCATCAACAGCAAAATTCCCCGCCACCGAGGCAAGGAGCTGCCCAGCTCAGCTCCTCTGCGGGGAATCTTGACTGGGGCCACCCTTTTCCCGCAGAGGAGGCCGGGCCGCGAAAATGAAGGGGTCTCGGGCGAGGGCTTCATACAGCCCTCATTCTCGACTTTTGCCTTCAGTTTCTTTGTTCGTTTGGCCTGCCGTGGCCATGGCGGGCCTTCCAGGCACGCATTTCTTGTTCCGCCGCCATCCTGCTGCCAGAGAAAACACCCGCCGAGACACCTGTGACTACTCTCAATGGCAGTCGCGCCCTGCGCCCGTCCCTCCGTGTCAACCAGTAGCTCCTCCCGTTCCTCCCACTCCCCCAACTCCTCCTGCACCTCCCGCTCCCCTGGCGCCTCCGGTTCCTCCAGCTCCTCCGTCCCCTCCTGACCCGCCTGTGTTTTGTGCTCCACGTCAGGGGGTCCTGCAGCTTCTCCTCCCTCCTGGCTACTCGGCGTTTGACGCGTACCTGTCCGAGCCCGACCGCGCCGGTGGCGCATCGTCTTCCTCCGCACCGTCGCCACGCTGGGGAGCCCCGGCTGATTGCCCGTTGGACGAATCCGCGACTGGTGCGGAGGATGACGTGGAGTTTTGGGCTGCCGACGGTCTTCCAGAGCACCTGCCTATTCCCACCTTCCCCCCCCCCAATAAGAAACGGCCCCACCCTTCTCGCGAGAATCGCGATGCCCGTCCTCCCTCCCCCAGGCACAAGCCTTCAAGTCACAAGCGGCACTCTTACACATCGCAGGAGAAACTGCAGTGGATTCTCAAGCTTGAGTCCGGGCACATGAGCGTGCGGCAGATGTCTCGCCAAACCGGCATCTCCCGAAGGTCACTCGCAGAATGGAAGACCCGGAAGGCTGACCTGGAGGGCGCGCATGCTGCTCGCAAGCGTCTTCATGGGCGCGGAAGGAGCTCGTGGTATCGCGACATGGAAGCTGAAGTCTACAGGAGGTTTCTTGCCCACCGTAAAAAATGTCTCGCGGTCTCGATTGCTCGCCTACAGAAGTGGTCGCATGAGGTGATGAAAGAATTGCACCCACAGGTAAAGTGGTCCGGCTCGCAGCGGTGGACTGAGCGGTTTCGCCGCCGTTGGAATCTGACAACCCGAGCGAAGACCAGGGTCGGCCAGAAGCTTGCTGCCAGTGAGTTTTGTGGGAAATGGTTGCAGTTTAATGTGTACTGCTTTGTGTTGTTTGTCTCTTTATGTTTCACGGTTGAATTTTAACGCGTCATTAATACTCTCTTCTCTCTTTCCCTCCCACCCGTACTCCCAGACTGCGAGACTGACGTCAGGAATTTCTGGAAGTTCGTGCGTCACACCCGCCGCCAATACAAGATTGACCCGCAGTGGATAATAAACGCGGACCAGACACCACTGTGGCTCGAGATGCCTGCCGAACGCACAGTCGAGGAGGTGGGTCTGCGCTCTGTGCCTATCCGCAGCGGCGGCTATCAGAAGGAGCGAGTTACGGTGATGCTCGCCTGCACTGCCAGCGGTGAGAAGCTGAAGCCGTGGGTCTTCTTCAAACGGAAGACCCTGCCTAAAGGGGATTTCCCTTCAGGTGAGCATTAACACCCACTGCTGCATGTTTTTTTTTTTTCTATGTCTTCTGATGTTGTACGTGCGTTTATGGCTGTGCAGATGTTACGGTGTCCGTCCATCCCAACGGTTGGATGGACGCGGACGGAGTCATCGAGTGGCTCGACGGGGCAGTGAAGCCGTTCGTCCACCCCAAGTTCGGAGTGAGGCCCCGCAAAGCGATGCTCGTCTTGGATTCGTACCGCGGGCACCTGACTGCGGAGGTGAAGAAGAAGTTCGGGGAGCTGAACATCGTCCCTGCCGTTATCCCAGCTGGCTGCACCTCGGAGATTCAACCTCTGGACGTCGCGGTGAATCGCTCCTTCAAGGCATCCGTTCGCCAGCTCTACCAGGAGTGGTTCGAGAGCGAGGGGGTCGACACCTTGACAAAGAAAGGTGAGAGAGGCAGGCCATGCGTGTGCTGCTTTAACAGTTTGTAGCGGTGGCTGACTTTTGATTGTTTAAATTTTATGGCAGGCAACATCAAGAAGCCACCACCCGAGCTAACGCTCAAGTGGATATCAGCGGCTTGGAAGGCCGTGCCCAGGGACTTGATTCAACGGGCTTTCCTCACCTGTGGCATTAGTAACGCCCTGGATGGGTCCC